ACTGCTGTTTCCACAGTTTTCCGGATATCATTCCAAGCTGCATCGGGGTGGGCATCACATACATGGCTGCCTAACTGTTTTCCTAGTTGTTCCTGAAATATACTCTTAGCTTGACTATCATTAAGTAGAACCTTAAGAGGTTTCCTTGTACCATCTTTCCTACGTCCAGTAAAACGCAGGCAAATACGCGCTCGCACTAGAGCATGATCTGAATCTAAGCATGTGCTCCAGAATGAGCGAGAGTCTTCTATCGAACCCCTCCATTGGTGGCTGATAGCGATGTGATCTATTTGGGTTCAACGTTGGTACGAATTAGGGGGTCGTCATGTTAAAAGATGTTTTTGCTTATGCTTAAGGTTAGTATTTGCAAGGAACAGGCGGTTATCTAAGCATAGCTGCAACAGACGGTCGCCATTATCTGTTCTTTGAGCCTCGACGCTATCAGATCCACCCAGGTGTCTTTCCTTTTCGCTTAGTTTATCTACCTGAGCATTAAAGTCACCGGCCATTATTATTACATCAGAGCGTCTAGACAGTCGTTTGTGCGCTGTCTTACTAAACGGAACAGTAAGGACACGGAATGATAGGGACACTCGTTGTTGCCTCTTCGTCGTCTCTGCCTACGCTCCCATTGACTGCAGCTCAGGCGATGTAAAATATGAGTTTCACAGAAAGCTTTTCGACCTTCTCCGAAAAGCTAGGCCGCAGATGCTGGCTTTCCGAGGGAAACACCTAACTGCTGTCACAGCCCTCTACAGTCAGGAGTACGACTTCGCCCTCAGACTTTGAGTTGCTGCTTTTAGTCTTACCGTTCTCCAATCAACCTGCATGGCATGGTGAGACCTGCAGGAACATATGTTCCAGCCAATATAGCTCGTTTGTGTCATCACGATAGGCAAGCACGACAACCACGTCAAGGTATCAGCTACTGTCGGGCTAAGCAAACATCATATACTTATATATTTTTGAACGGACAAAACGGTTTTATATCTGTAAAAGTCAATGATACAATAATGAAAGAGAAACAACAGGATCATTTATACGAAGACAAATCTACTGACAGTATGGTGCTAGAGATCTATTTCGTTTGAAGTTATAGAATCTCATATTTCTAACTCAGTGGCAAGCAACCCATACACATTACAGTTAATAACCTACATGGGAACGTCTATAAAAAGTAGGTAGTTTTTTGGTCCTCGATCATTGTAGTATGTATTAAGTGTTGGAATCCATAAAAAAAGCTTACCTTGTGTAGAACTTTCTGTTATGTTCAAAATTAACTAAATTATCAGGTCATTAGACAAAACTGTATGTTTATTAAGGGTAAATTACAAGACATCACGCGAACTAAGGTCTTCCTGTTTTTTATACGCTGTTGTCTGACAAATAAAACTAGTTTTCAAACATCCCGAAAGTGTAGTCGAATGCGTAACATCTTCCAAAAATACTTATTTGTATCAGTTTTTGACGGTATAAACGATCAACCATTGGCTACTCAAGTAAAGAGTAGCCAATTCATCACGTGCATTTGGTTTCACATCAAAGTTCTCAATCAATATCTTGCAGCATCTAGATAATCCCGAAAAGAAAACTTCTATCTCGGTGGCCAGTGTCTACGCGTTCGCACGTTATAGCGAGTTAGTTTTGATTTCTTCTAACGGGTAGGAATGTTATCAATCAATACAGTTAGGTCTAAAACATATTTACTGCATGTGAACTTTTTTCGTGACTTGAGTTACCGTTTCTGAATGTCTGAAATCGATTCTTACACATGGTTGCATCTTCCCAAGTTGTCGTGTTTCATAGTACAGAGGAAAAATCACTAAGAGGAATAACGGAAGCGAATATTACAAGGCTGACAGTAACGAAAATTTGGAAACCAAGAAAATTAAACTGATATGGTAGCATTAAAGAGAATAAATAACGACTGTCACAATGTCCGCTTGTACAATTCAACAGTGTTTATTATGGTCTGAACAAGTAACTACTGCTCGGTATTTCACCTGTGCTGTTTTCAGTCCAGCTATTGCTGTCTACACAAAGCTTTAGTGCCAGGAGTTCTCAACATTTTCAAAGGTGCCCCACATTCTTACAATGTTTAAGAGCTATTCATTTGTTCATCACTGTTTGAAAAAAGATTAATCACATTCAAGTATATCACTCAATACACACTTATCTGTTTTAATTTATGTTTCAGGATCATGCATACCTTTATTATTTCTTTGCTTTCTTCAGGTACCTTTCGCAGTGCATGGATACGGAGCTCTTGTTGCTTTGAGTATCTTAGACCGTATGCACCGTCCAGATATGACTGTAGATGAAGCTGTTGCACTGTTGCGTCTGTGTATTCAGGAAGTTCAAAAACGTCTAGTTATAAATCTTGATCGATACATGGTCCGTATTGTTACTAAAGATGGCATCGAGGAGCTACCCGACCTGACTGATTTTGCTGTAAAAGAATAAATTTTATAAAATAAATTTTCCACACCTTGTAGAACTATCGTTTCGATGTCTGATAGGTAAAAATAATCAAGTTGGATTCGTGTCATGTGATTAAACATCTTCAAAAGGTTATGGGTCTACAGCGTTGCCTTCGTGATTTTTAGCTAATTGTGCAACTTTATTTCGTTGGATTTTATCAATCAACAAAAAACATAAACTATTGTAACCTATGGATCACTAGATTAAGAAACTATCAATAAGATCATTTAGACAAATGTATGTCTGCTTTTACCAGACAACCCGAATGGGATGTCAACATGGGACATCTGTTTCTCAAAGAAGTAGTAAAAAACATAGATAATTTAAAGGGAGAGAGCAGCATGTCCTGATGGATTAAACCCTAAGGGTGATGGTCCACACCTAGCAGCTAGGTTGACCGATATATTAACTGAAGTTTGCGGATCGGACGTAGTCTCTCGTGACTGATCTCGATCTCTGGTCACTCCATTCTGTGAAGGACAAAAGTCCTCTTATAGTTGCCAAAGAATCAGTTTGGATAACATAGCTTCCGAAATATTAGCCTTAATAATACTACGACACTCAACTAGGGCTCGTTGAAAGCAAACCCAAGATAACTAGGCCTGTTGGAGAGTCGAGTGTAAATGTATAGACTAAATATCAATCCTTCACTAGGTTTTGAAACGTGAGCAAACTTCTTAACGTCCAACTACAGTTACATTTTCAGTATGGGATTGTGGAGATTGTAGAAATTCAATTAAATCTTGATTCGATCTAATTTAAACAGCTGATGAAAATCTGGATTCACCGGACGGTCTTTTCGTCCTACCATGTGACTCAGCGTTACGGTCACACGAACCTTTGGTAGGGACTCGAATTCAGGACCTTCAGTCTCGCTCGTGAACGCTTAACTTCCAGACCGCTGAGCCGGCATCCAACACTATGTATGTGGAACCTGGCCTCCGAGTTGAGGACATTAGACGACTCTCTGTGTCCGATCATCGTCGTCTCCGAAGGATTGCTGACATTCAGTGGCAACACCATGTTAGTAATGCAGAGGTTCGGCATCGTATGTTCGGGCACAGAGACGATAATGCAGTTGGTGTCACCATCTTGAAACATCGACTTCGGTGGCTTGGAAATGTTCTACGAATGCCGTCCCAGAGAATTCCACGTCGTGCATTATTTGCCGACTCTGGGACTGATTGGAAGAAGCGGAGAGGTGTTCAGTATATGACATGGTGTCGTGGTATGAAAGAAAGCTGCAAAGGACTGGCTTGTGTTGGTCCTTCATGACTCTCTGGTTGGGGTCCGAGAGATGGTGCTACACAGTGGCTAGAAACGTTATTAGATATGGCTCAGAATAGAAGCCAGTGTCGATCCTGCTGTAACCTTCTTTTATGTTCTTCATAAAAAGTGGTTGTATCTTCCTTAACTGAAAGATTCCTTCTGTTCCCCTATTATTGCTATTATTTATTATTATTATTATTACACTACCTTACACCAATCTTTCCGTCATTGTTTTTTTCCAATTATTATTATTTCTTTTTTACGTTCCTCACTTTTTCTTCTTAGATTCTCATCGTTTTGTGTGGCGCATATATATTCGGCGCACTGCTGTACCAATATATATGTGTTCAAATAATAATAATAAATATTCATCTAGTCACACTAAAAAACTGCGATTTTTCTCGAAATTTGTTTTTAGAGACAAAAGTATTGAACATGACTGAAGTCATGTAAATATTCATTACGTGATCAACCTTTGACTTTAGATACATCAAATATAATTATAGTAAGGTAAACATGCGTTTATACGCAAATAAATCTGACAAGTTGAGAAGTATAAAAAGCTCGCTTTATAACAAAAAAGATAAAACACATGATTTACAAGCATTGAAATATCAATTGGCCAAGAACAAAACATATGAATGAGCATCGTGCCCCAAAAAAAATTGGGGAATTCGCCCACTATCAATATGTATTCCTCCAGAACACGTACAATTATCTCTTTGTTTTTGAATCCTTTCATGTAGCAACACTGAAATTTACATCAATATATATATATATATATATATATATATATATATATAGAAAAATAAAGTATTATCTACACAAATCAAATGGAATAAATCACTTGTATCTATATATAATCGGCAGATGCTCGTACCATTAACGTCCTGTGTTCATATATGTAGTCTCAACGTAAGCAAATGCGTGGAAAATAAATACAAACTCAAAAAGCATGTATATATTTATGTAATAAGGAACTGAGTAGCATGAAAGACAATTAATGATTAGATAAGAAAATATGAAATGAAAAGCACATAGTTCTTATTAGTATTAGGGATGATTTTAGTGGTAGTTTAAATTTGGCACAGACATTGTTGGTAAGAATAGTAAGACTTAATTAATTTTCGGAAGGTATAGATATTATGTTCACTGAGATCTAAGGGCACAAACAACACAACAAACCAAAGCAGAAAATGGAAGTAAACACTTTGTAGTCTCAATAAATGAACAACTTTATATATCTGTATTTAGCTCATCATGATACGACGTAAATTATTTTGCAATACTGTATCTTGCATAGCATTGAATACTGTTTCGATATTCCGCCTATCTACAGCAGTTGTGAAATGACGATAGACCATACGCTTTCGTACAGGGGCTGTAAATGTTACGTTAGTGGACATAGGTACAGAGTTTTGTCTATGAAGAGATGAACATTTAGCAGTATTATTGAATGATGAGTGTGAAAGACTTGAACGAGCTTGAGTATCTGGTGGAAAGTTGTGATTGACTAGAGAGGCAAATACTTCAACCATAAATGTTTGAACATCTTGCAGACGAAATGGATCCATTTTCACGGGGTAATTGGGAAACTCATCACGAATATTTGATGTACGTGAGTTTAACTTTTCTTTAAGTATATCAGTTTTGTTAAAAAATATAATGATGGAAACACGTCTAAAAGCAATATGATTGATAAGTCCTTCAAAAACAACCATAGCTTCATGTAATTTATTTCGAAATTCTTTAGTTAATCGATCTTGATAATGTTCATCGTAATGACTGCAAGCAATAAGGAACAGGACAGATGTCATATCAGCAAAACACTGACACCATTTACGACGTTCTTTTGTTTGTCCACCGACGTCAATAAAAACAAGTGATGATGAGTGGACATTTATTTCTTCTTCAATTATAGATTCCGTTGGTTTACGTGACCAAACTATATCTTCATCAGTTGGACGATAATTCTAAAAAATCAAGAAAAGTTTCAAAAAATCCATTGTACTACTTAAAATTTTGTTTAATTCGGTTATTTATTATCTATATTGTTTATCTATAGAGAAGCGAATTACACTAAGTTGTGAAACATTCGAAAATCCATTTTTAACTCACTGAGTTATAAAAACATATTATTCTATTAGGACTATACATGCACGAATGGGATCTTAAAAATCTAAAGTAGAAGTCAACCACATAGTGCTATGTACCTTTTAGAAACACTTTTACTACACTTAGATGTTGGAAACCAAAATCAACTGAAAAGCTTCCAAGGGGGATTACATTTACAAGAGATAAGTAGACTAGAAAACATAAAATATGATACGACAGTTCATCGGTTCAAGACACAATATTTCTTAACAGTGCAAAATGAGAAACATTTTAGACAGAAAACATCAGAATGAACTAGGGGGAGACTAATTGAAAAATGTTAGAAAGTGTATAAGTCTTATTCAATGTTGTACAATAAATTCATGTGATTTAAGATTTTCACAGAAGATTTGAATATATTCGGTGCAATTTAACGAACAAAACTACTACAATAAATAAGATCAGAATTTGATAGATTCATACAGAAATAAAAATGAATAAACTCATTTACCGGGTACTTGGATCCATACTCAAAATGTGAAGGCTAATGTTATTACACAACTGGCCAAGCCGAAATAGATGGAATGGGGTTAGAATCTAAACCTTAGTGACCGGAAATTGAAAACTTTAACCGTTAAGTCGACGCTCCATCTTTCACAGATTACGAACATGTAATTGAACGATGAAAAAATATACTAGAGTTAATGCACTAGCTACGTTTACTGACAACTTCATGATGTCATTAAATGTGATTTAAAGTATGTTTTTTTATGATGGTTAATTTACATTAGAAAATGTAAACATTACGCATATGTAACTTTAAGAAACATATATTTAAGTTGCATTATTTTTTTAAGGAAGGAAAAAGGCGAAAAAAGGATGTAACTGTAAGTTTAACGAAATAAGAGATCTTAAAATGAAGAAAAAAATACGTTGCTTGTTACTTTGGAAGAGAATTATTCACAATAACTCGGTAATCAGTTCAAAATCGTGTTTTTAAACAAAAAAAATGTACAAGATTATTCACGTCTGTCATGAAAAGTCGTCATTAGTTATATAGATATTCGGTCGATTGCGTTATTTGATTTATTTGTGAATATTGTTTCTCTCAAGTGTCTACTATTACTTACTTACTTACGCCCGTTATTCCTCGGAAAGGAGCATAGGCCAAACACCGAAATTCTCCATCCAACCCTGTCCTGGGAAATCCTTTCCAATTGTTATTTACTCTTTCCATATCTGCTTCTATTTCCCGACGTAATGTGTTCTTTGACCTTCCTCTTTTCCGCTTCCCTTCAGGATTCTAAGTTAAGGCTTGTCTCGTGATGCAGTTTGATGATCTGCGTAGTGTATATCCTATCCATTTCCATCGTCTTTTCCTAAAGTGTCTATTATGTTAACTAATAAATCTTGTTAAATATACCAAATTACGTGTTACATTTAACCATTTTCAAGTGAAAAATTAATAATTGGATATGAATTGAAAAAAAATTCATTTCTTATTTAATTGTTCGTTCATTCTATATACAACAATGTTACTTTTTAAATGTACTGTCATATACATCTTCTTTTACATTCTTAGATATATGCATATAACTTTCTTTGTTAAAAATCTTTATCATCAGCATAAAATAACACCTAATCATAACAGTGTATACAACAATATATTTGTTCTATTTAGTTATCTAATAAAAACACTACAAAAATATACCCTGTATATACGCAGATTTTAATTATAATTTTATATTTACGAATTTATTTATGTTAAATCATAATTTCTATAGTGATTTTTTTTACTGTGACTGGTACTAATAGTACTGCCCCTTTGATTTTCATCTTGATATGGTGTAAAAACTTGAACTAATACACATATATCCCAAGTTCTACGTTGTTGGCGATTGACTGAAAAAAAATTAAATCCTAATGACATACATCACCAACCGGTTTTGAATAAGATATGAAGCTATTGTACTATGAACCTTTTGAAAAGTTTTGTATAAGCAATAAATACGATTTTCCTTTTAAGATAAGCGATCAGAATGCAAATGTTAGTATTAATTTAGTTTTATAAGTCATACTTCAACCAATTTATTGATAAGAAGAAAGCAAGAGCAAAGATTTAAGCAGAATAACATTATTTCATCTTATTTCATTAGGTTTTTGTCAGCTTCTTACAAACTGCATTATTTAATGGTTAAAATTATAAAATGAGTTAAAAGTACATAAATGAATTTTAAGACAGAAATTTGTTACCTTTATACATCAGAATAGTATGGGAAAGATGTAAATAAATTTAAGAAATCAAATAAAAATTGCCTATAAACATACAATATTTAAAAGAATAATTTTATAGCAACGGTAGTAAAAAGAGAAACCGAAGAGTTAGAAACAAATGGTTACGTGATGAGCACACACCAATGATAAGTAAAAATAAAGTGAGTAAAATTCGTTTAGTTGAAAATCTAAGTAATTGAACTGGAAGCAAACCAAAAAAGGTAATCAAACAACCGTCTAATTTAAAGATTTGAAAAGAACTAAATGATTTAATTAACTAAAGTTTATGGTACAAAAACAAAATGTTTGACTACAGTTCCCTTTTAAAAACATAAATCACATGTCAATTTTTGCAGTAAACTTCAAAAGAAAAGGGCTTGGCTGTTCAGTAATGACACTAAAAGATTTTAAAGGTACCAAACTGATGTCTAGAGATTGCATCATTGAAAATATTTCTTTATCTTGGTCGAAACGTATTAAGAACATGTTTAAAAAATTCAATTAATAAACGTGACTGACAGGTATACGTAAATTTATACACAGTTGAAGCTAACACAAATGGGGAACTTGTTTACCCTTCACCAAAACATTGAAGATGTTTTATCACACGATTAATAGTTTGGGTGCACGGTAGGTCCCGGTTAATGCACTATTAAGCTCTATACTGACTGTCTTTGTAATATCATCACCTTCGAAGTTGAATGGGATAATGACTGGTTCTTTATTGACTGGAGTTATACCCGACTTGTTATCTTTAGTTTTTTTCTCTATATTTATTAATTCATTTAGGCAAAGTATTCTCAACCTAATATTTAATTTAAACTTTTAAATAGTACAGGTTGCAAGTAGCTGACAAGAACCTAATGAAATCAATTCATATTATTTTGCTCAAATCTTTGTTCTTGATTTATTTCTTTAAGATGATAAAGTGAATATGTATTAAAAAACAAATTCCTTAATTCAAAATACACCAAACCAAGAAGTATAACAGAGATTCTTCTATCAATATTGAACTGATTTAGAAGAAGAAACGCAATATTTCACAAGTGATGAATTTAGGTCTAATGCCAAATGACTAGAATGTTTATCTTAAAAGGTATGCGATAATTTAAAAAAAAAAGCAAAGCGTATAGTTTAATCGAAACATGAACAGATAATTCTCTACATAAACGGAGTTCTAAATGCAAAATATTAATTATAATTATAGATAATTCAAAAATGAAGAATATTTGAGCGAACAATTGTTTTCAATAACTTCATCATCAGGCTCTACAGTTATAAGTCCATAATTATAATATTTTACAAAGGCCAAATATAAGGTATGTATTAATGAGTTTGACAATGTTATAGATAATTGTGAATATAGTATCCTTATTATAAAAGGGAATATATAGGCAGAGTAAAAAATCAATTTAGAATTACGTGATAAAAACACAAAAATGTTAATAATCATAGAAATATTCTAATGTTTCATTTCCTTTTTTTTTCTCTTTAACTCGAATATGTTATTCATTTTTTTGATTTATACTTTCAGTGAACGTGTTTTAAATGCTAAATCAGGTAGATAATGATGAAAAAAAAAGTGTTGATTATTTATTCTTCTACTGATCACATTACAAGTATGGTGTCAAGATACCAAGAGAGATGAATATAGTATGTTGTACATATCATGGAAACAGATAAATTGTTATAATGAAATGATAATTTTTGAAAAAAATCTTGATAAAAAGTGTTTTGTTTAAACAATGTGCTATCGTAGTGTTGTTGAGATGAGAGGTGGAGGAGCAAGAAAAATCCTATAATTATCTAATGTGAACAAGATAATAAACATTTCGTAAGTTAAATAATTTATATTAAACGAAAAAGAAACATGACACCTTTTGTTTATATATGACAAATTTAATACGTATCTTATGTAAATCATAATATTAATTTTATGTAATGTTATGTAAGTTGATACAATAATTCTATTGAAAATCATAAAACAAACTAACGAACTAAAGAAATCTTAATGATTAGTGTAGATAACTTGTATCTGAAAAGTGAATATATCACACGAAAATCTTTTCGATCATTAAATATAATTTATTCATTTTTATTTATCAATGAATAACAATAAGCAAACGCATGTACTTTTTACTTCTGTCTTAATGATAATAGAATTACATAATTTAACTATTTAGGAAAAGAAATCAGTTGAATAATATAGTTTTATTGCCGTATATATTTTTTTTCCAATAATTAATTAGTCTCTCGAAGATCATAGTTTACGGAGAATAAAAAAAGTACCGTAGTTTAAAAGTAAACTAACTTATGATATAATGCATTTTTATGCAACAGAATGCAAGTAAATTAGTACACATATTACATACTACTTATTATTATTGATTGAGTTTTACGAATGAAGTATGTAAAGTGGTTCATTTAGTGAAATAACTCTGTGTTATAATCATCGATGTTAAATAGTTGCAAGCTTCTTCAATTTATTGAAACATTTGACAGTGAGTTGTTCATCGAAATCTGTATATTTAAGCCTAATAAGTAAGACTTCAATTGTTTGGAAAAAATTCACTATTATTCATGAATAACGTGTGTGTGAACTAATAGAATGAATTTGTAGAGTTATTTTCTTTCGGTAATATAGAATGTTAAAAACGTAAATCAACGGACAACTGACGTGATAAGGAATAACTATTCGTAAAAAACGACAATGAGTAACACGTAAGAGATTAATGGCGATAAAATCATATCTCTATTGATATCCGAGACAACTGATCGGTAATCATGAAACTAAAATCGTTCTTCTCCCAATGAATACTACAAAACAAATACAATTAAGATTTATTATTCTCTACTCATTATAAATCAAAAGGAATTGATTAAGTAATGAGTTTAGGCAAATAATATAAAGCTTATTACAGATTATTGTGTCATACAGTTAAATTAATTAGTACAATTTCTTAATTTATTGATTACCTTGATCAAAAAACCCATTCATATGTAACGTAATAATCACTAACTCAACTAGTTTAGCACATAAAAACTATGATTTCACAGAGTAAGTGTGAAATGTGTTTCTCCTTGATGATAATTAAAAGAGATTTAAAAAGTTTATCCTTCCAGTTTCAGATTCAACTTATCATTGTATAAATCGATATTCAATATTAACATTTCATATTTCTTATATACCAATTACTTCTCACTGAAGAGTGAAAAATATCCCGGCGAAAGCGAATGATTAAATAAGTTTATCTTTCTGAACTTTTTTTAGTTTAAATAATGTAAGAGGTTTACTGTGTTATTATTAGTTTGAATTTCATAACAAAAGTAAACAGTAATAGATGTTGAGATGATTGTTCGAAAAGTTAAGCAGTAAAATTGTATTTATATTATCAACGAAAGTGTTTCCCCTAAAATTTTAGAGATAAAGCCTATGAAAAAACAGTCCCCATGAATTCAAAATAAAAATTATATGTGAAAAGAGTTTATTTATATAGTTTAAATTTGATAGTAAAATGGAATTTAACTAATAGAAAGATGAACTAAATTTCCAATAAACTAAAAATATAAGTTATTTTGTTCCCATTTAAGAAAACATGTAAGATAAGGAATAACTTACTCTTCTAGGGAAATCCAATTGACGTTACATATTTAGAGCAGTTCTTCAAATCGAATTTGTTTTGTAACAGTTAAAATGTTTAATGATGAGTCATTGAATACATTAATGGAGGGGTTTTCACAGTTTACAACATATAACGGTGAAAGGGATCTAAATATGTATTTTTATACAGTAGACAGAAATCCATATGGGGTATTATAATTTGAAAACAATACAATTTCAGTAACATCGTTGTGTTTAGTAGATATTATCGGTTAAGATTATAAAAAAATGCACATATATTTATTTAGAAAACAGAACTCAGTAACTATATTTTAACCTTGAAATACACGACTGTTTATGAGAAATACTTCGAATCAACTATTCAAACTAGAAATAGGATGCTTTAGTACGTGACCTGATAGTTAAAAGTCCAAAGTCTTGTATACTGAACTTCGACTCTATTGAAAAATGTATGAAAAGCATAGTTTAATTGAATTAAGCATCAAAAATATTTAACGTGCAAATCGTAGATAACTGACATTCTTAATGCTTTTAAGAATAAAATTTCAACCGATCCTATTTATTTGTGTATTAATAAAATTTAGTGTTACAAGTTAACGTAATACATTGTCAAATATATTATTACATAAAATATAAAAACAATGTCTCAGTATTTTGTTTACTTTCACAACAAGTATACATACATTATTATAAACGGAACAACTGACATTGGAATCGATTTTGGTCAATAAGTTGGACAAAAAAAAGTGTTTAACTTTTTAATATTTTCAGATTATAGAATTGAGTATTCTTATGTGATTTAACTTGGGTAAAGTTTTTAAAAAAATATATAATTAATTACAAACTAATTTATGATGAATTATCAATCCCATAACTTCAACTATAGTTAGGAATTTATTTACAACATTCCAATCTTCAAGTAAATGCACTATCTTCATTTAAACTGATGAATTTCCACCATATATTTTCATTATCATTATAAAGAAATAAATTGTTCCAATCCTTTTATTATTATGACAAACTAGGTTCAAGATTGAAAATAATAATAATAATAACAATCATTTTAACAGAATAACATCGTTTATAAACCATAAGTATTGATAGATTACACGTACAAGGTATAAGATGTAAGTAATGATCATAAAATGAACTACTGATTGGGCATGATTGTTCTTTTACTAAGTATATGATTATGTAATTATAGACAGAGGAATCTGTTAAATTCAACAATGCTAAATTAAACATCCAATCATGAAACACATTAGAATAGAAGAATGAATAAAACAAGTGATGGATGATATAATAATCATAGAACAAAAGAGACTATATTTCGAAAAGTGATTTGTAAAAATTTCTATCATCAGCTACTATTGACAATCATAAAACTCATATTTTGTAATTTACACTATGTATACAACCAAGCCACTAAGATATAACTTTGTATGCTTTACAACATTTTGTTTGTGTGAGATATGAAAAGTTCATAAAGTCTCTACTATTATTGATGACATGGAAGTCAAGTGACTTCTTCATCCATATTATTATTTATAAGTTGAGGTTTGTTAATTCAGAGTCTCGATCAAGTATTATGAAGATAAATAAGATAACTAACATCTATATATAACAGTCTATGAGAAAAATTTGTAGATCAGGTAGATGCTCTTGGTGTTGGGCTCTTTGAACTAGATAATTTAATTCCCAATCAGGACAATATCGTTGTCCATTTCACGTACAAGTAAGCCTCTAGTTATTTCACTTCTACTAGTCAAGCGCTGATGATATTGTTCAGACTGACAAAAAGTGCTCCGCGATTAAAAAAAAATCAAGTTTAAAGAAATCGACACCGAAAGATTACACAACTCTACTTGGAATCATGTCTATATAGTAAGAGGTATCTATTTTAGAGTACACTTGAAAAAGTAATTTGATCATCACGAATCGAAATCAGTTGGAGTGTCGTGAATGAGAACTCAAGTGGGGAAAACTAATTTATTGTTTAATGAAAATCACACAGTGACACAGTAAAATATGAAAATCAAACATTAAATATGAGATTTGCATATCCTCTTTGAAATGTCTGTTGCAAACTGCGTCGTTTCTTCATTCCTATTGGCTGATTTCAGTTTTCTCTTCCGTTAGTAAGAATTCCACTCCTTATGACTGATACATACTACTTATATCTGTCCGTAAACGTAGCACACACCGCGGGAGAACCAATAAAAACCAAGACCCCATCACTTATCCGAATTTGGATCGGATTAACGGTGTACATTCATAACTTAAGACAGAACCCAAAACCTTTATGTCTCATATGATAAGCCATATATTCTAGAAATTGCTAGAAAACTGAGTTTGATGTTCCTAGTTAAATTTCTGATTTTCTGAACAGAGCGAAATACGACAACTATTCATCACTTACAGAGAGGCCTATAATCATGGTTAGATAAAAATACGGTAGACAACTGTCTAAAAGGTATTTACTAAAATTCTGTGAACTAATCGATTGAAATCTTATCTCTACTAGGCCCTTTCACAACAATAAGTGGAATAAAGTTAATAACAGAAACAATACTAGCAGGAAAAACAGCAACATGAAAGACAGTAGAAGGTTGCTCTTTTCCACTAGAAATTTGTTAGCGATGGTTTCCATTGTGTATTTTAGTTAGTGGTCATACTTCGTAGTTTATCTAGTAGACATTACGTAGACCACTAACTCAGATCCACTTTGTACCCGGACTTCGCTTCAAGTATATTTATCGTCATGTAAATAATGAATTTATCGTTTACGCGGAAATAATTTAGGCAGTGACATGATAATACTAATGAGGGGAAACGTTCAGTAGGCTGCTGAAGAGGTAACACAAAATCATTTTTTTCATTCACTAGTAAAATGGAAAGAAAATTATATAGACTATACTTTAATCATCCATAAAAGAGATAGAAAATCAAATAACCAGATTACCGCTAATTGTAAATAGCTTAAATTTGAAAATTCTGTTTATGGCATAACCAGTTAATGGACAAGATTAGGTAAATAATATGTTTTGCGGAAAATATTTAGTTATATTATTTTATGGTTATAGAAACGATTTTATATGATCAGCATATAATTAGATTATATCGTATAACTGACACTCATCAACATTACTTTCTGTCTAGTTGGTGTTATTCGCACGTGTTTATCGCTAATAAACAATACAAGAAAAAGTATGTCAAGCCTCAAGGCGCTTCCTGTTAAACATAGATATTAATTGAAATAATGAAGTATATCAAACCATAATCAATAACTATTATATATTGTATTGAAATTATTAAGGAGCAATACCTAAGCAATAACTATTTAATGAATCAATGTTCACAGAATTTCTGTAAAAATAAATACCATTCATCTCAACACTGATTAACAGCTTATCATGTTCTTAAATGTTTAGGCGTGAACAAAGATAATAGTACAACTCATTTACCGAGGAAACGTCAATGAAATTAGTTTTAAGCAAGTTTTCTTAAAAGTAAATGATACAAAGCAACCACACAAACTGAAGTAGATGAAACGGGTTCGGAAACAGATATGTAATTCTTAAAGTCTGAACTAACAAGTAAATATTCGATAACAAAACTTTAAGTGTTTTAGAAGTTTTAGGAAGTTACTAGAACACATAAAACCATTTTAAAAGGAACCTATGATAATGATACTTCATCAATAGAATATTAATGCCACGTGATGTAAACAATATGCATTACTGCAATTTTATTAGGATTAGTTTTTAATCCAATTAGAAAGCAAATGATGAATAATAATTCACGACAACTAAGAAAATAGATAACGTATAGATACTATAACTATAAAGATCCCCTGTTCTATCATGCTTCAACTTAACTTTTAGCAGTAAAGATCTGATACAGGACATGATAAAGAGAAGAAATAAGACAAATAATTTCATATTACAAATGTACTTACTTCTACACCAATATGATTTAGACGATTGAGGTAATAGCGTGTATTCTCACTCTGTAAGATAAAAAAAATAGAACCAGATATAAAATAGATGCTAGAACAAATAGGTGGAAATGCATTTGATACAGTATTAAATATAATAAAAAACATTACTGAAATAATAGTCGAATTGTAAGGACAAAGATGGATATATGGTAACTGACACAATATGTACATGTGGAATGTATCCGTAAAGTCGTCTGAATTACGTGTATATGTACGAAATATGAGGACATACTTAGTCAACCCTAGATATCAGGTTGGATACATTGATACAATAGTTATGATTAGGTTTTATCTTGGAAATTAATCAACTAGCGTATTTATATATACGTTGGGATAAATAATTTTATAGTAGTAATCGTATGAATTTTAAAACTAATCGAAACTGCAATTGAATTCATCACTCGATCTAAATTAAACCACCACTGAAAACCTGGAAGCACTGGATAACCGTTTCGTCCCAGTACGAGACACCTCAGCAACACACAGGACTCAAACCCAAGACCCTTGACCTTGCGTGCAAATGCTCAAAATCTAGTCCACTGAACCGGGATCCATCGGTGTTAATGTATAGCTCCGATCAATTCGTTGTCTTGCACAGCCCTTCATCTATTGTCTGAGGTTGATAACTGTCCCACAATTGACACGGATTGGACTCCACTGGTCACGGCATCTCACTAGAACCCCAGAAGTTCCATCTTAAGGCTAGTCATTAATGAGCACATGACTATTATCAAGTACGGGAGATTTGTGGAGATTGTAGTATTTTCACAGTTGAATTCAATAGTCGATCTAAGCTAGACCACCAGCGATCGCGCACGAGACCGAAGGTCCTAAGTTCTAGTCTCGCGTGCGGGACCATAGATGCGCACTGCTGAGAAGTCTTATACTAGGACGAAACAGCTGTGCAGTGCTTAAAGGTGTTCAATGGTGGTCTAACTTAGATCGACTCGTGAATTCAACTGTGAAAATATTACAATCACCACAAATCCCCATACCGATAATAATTGAAATCACACAAATTAGCCTGTAAGAGATGAATAATAACATTGAATGCATAACAATAATACTCGAAATTACCAGGACATTAACATAAAAATTAGATGAAAAACGTGACCACTTGAAAAAACCATATCACCGCTTTGAAAGTTGTAAAACTGTGTTATCAGTTACCACACAAGTATTACAGTCAGTCAGTAACAACGTAGAACTTCGTACGTACGTACATACAGCAGTTCGAGTTGCCACACCACATTAGCACAGAGATGCAGTTGTCCATTCAAATCCCGTAGTGGTAGAGGTAATAAGAGTATAAGCAGTAATCGGAAACATTAGGGTTTGGAGATGTTATTCAAAGAGTATAATCCAGTGAAATAAATTTGGAAAGAGATAAAAAAGAGACAAGGAGGAATGAGAAGATCAAAATTTGGAAGAACATAAAGAGTGTATGCACCTGCGCCATTGCAAACGATTTTGAGCTATGTAATTCAGGGTCTCTAACCATCGGCTGCTATCATCTCGCAGTCCCCAACCAGGTAGTCTACACCTACCAACATGACTCAGACCACTTGTCAGTGACTTCATGAACTTGTGCCATGTTTTGATCTGACCGCCCCTAGCTTTCTTCCAACCTACTCCTATACCACTGAACATCGCACGTCGGGGCAGTTGGTGGTTGGGCATACGTAACACAAGTCCCAGCCATCTCAAATGGTGAAGTTCTACTACTTCATCAATTGATTTGCCATCCTTACTTAGTACCCGTTTCCTAACAACTGAGTTACTTACTCGGTGGTCCCAGGATATACGAGCAATGCTTCGAAGACACCTATGATTTAACAGTAGCAACCTACGAATATCCTCTACTCTTACCGGCCATGTTTCACTGTCATAAAGTGGGACGGAACGAACTGCTGCGCATTAAACACGTCCTTTGGTTGGTAGACGGATATCTCGCCATAAATGACGCAATTTGACAAAAGCTAGTCGAACCTTCTGTATCCGTGCTGAGATTTCGTCACACACCAGACCACAAGAGCTGATGAGACTTCCAAGATAAGTGAAGCGGTCGACACGCTAAACTACTTCACTCCCTATCATTAGTTCGGGTGTCGATGCAACCCAATCCTGAAGTAACATTTCGCATTACATTATTTAATAATAATGTAATAATGTGGTGTGGCAACTCGAACTGATGTACGTACGTACGAAGTTCTACGTTGTTACTGACTGACTGACTGACATTATTTAATAATTGAATTCATGAGTCAATTAAAGCTAGACCACCATTGAAAATCTGGAAGCACTGGACGGCCGTTTCATCGTAGTATGAAACTCCTCAACAGTACGCATCCACAATCCCACCTCGTGAGATTCGAACACAGGACCTATCAGTCTTGCGAGCCGACGCTTAACCTCTAGACCACTGAGCCGGCATACAACGGTGTCAATGTCTAACTTCAACCAATGTACGAAATTGCGCCACCGTCCACTATTACATTATTTAATTCTTTACAGAAGGAAAGTAATTTCGATAGAACTAGAAAAAAATGAAAAGTTATATACTTGTTAGTTTGAGGTGGTTACAAAAAATTCAGGCCGCTGCCAATAGCCTACATTTATCTGACAGTTATATGCAGCTAGCCTCACAAATATATTTCGTGTGACTCACCTAAGTATTATACTACAGCTCTGTGCTAGTATCTGAATATTTTTCATCTGTGTGATCATAGATGAATACTAGAATCAACATAATACGACCATTATCTACTTGAAAAAAGTATGCCCAACAGTAAGTTGGAGTTTTTAATGTTTACATAACATGATAAACTAGATAAAAGACCAAACTTAGAATGTATGACATAGCAACCCATGAACAGAATGTTTTTTCCTTAAAGTTAATTAAATTAAATCAAAATTAGGTCACCTGATTAAACTAATTCAATGTAACTGGTATTGTGTGCTATTCTGAGAAGGTTCATACTACAACGGGTTAAATAATAGGCAAAGTTGAACTCTTGAACTATCGTACCAGAAGTTGCTGTTTATATTACTGTTGTATCATTATTATATACTTAAACTAGAAGCTTTCCGCTTGCTGTGTTGTGTTCTATTCGGGCTATGGGCGGACAAGTGTGGGGAGCTGCGTTCTGTTTTGTTCTCAGCTGTTATTTCACTTCTGTCGTATCACTGGCTAGCTGAAGGTCATGAATACTAGATAGACAGTCTAGGCGAGTTAATCAATACTCGGACTAGATCAGTACACTTGCTCTTCTGCATTACGGTCCTATCACATGGGCCCCGAAAGTAACACACAAGAAAAATGTTATTTTGCCAACACATCAATTAATTATACTGACAGAAGTAAGAAGTTAAATTTAGCCATTTTTCTAAATCTACACTTGGTGTAATTATGTTTACATCAAAAGGATCATGAATTATAAGTGTGTTGACTGAGAGGTTACAAAAGAGGATGATTTGATAACATCAATATGGTCTTAATCATTAGTACTTAGACAGTTGTACAACGGACTTGTTCTCACTATATCACTGACTCCCAAATTTACAGTAGGAACAGCAAATCTAAGACGATTTCAGGTCGTCTAAAGAATGTGTTATTGGTACTTCCGACAACCGACAGGTTCTAGGATGAAGAGGAAAATACAAATATTTTACACAAACTATATCCTCCCATATGACGAAATTAGTTGACTAAATTCATTTCAGGAAACATACTACTGCAGGGTTTCGTATGAGAATCAAAGTCGTGTGAAGATTTATTTGTTCTTAAAGAAGAAGAGAGTTGGTCAGTACTTCAATGTCACTATTTGCTTCACCTACATTGCAGACGTGAGATTTAGTCAAGAAGATGGGATCAATCTTTCTGAATCATAAGCATTTCATTAATTCGAGGATCTATTTACATGTCTTCATTTCAGTTCATTTTAACATGCCATTCTTTTTCATGAAAATCTATACTTGTTATTATGTATAGTATATAGCAGACTGACTTAACCATCGGGGATATCAAGTTTGCTTTTGTATTTAACACGGAAAATTAGACACAAATGAAATGTAACCAACCAAGAAATTGTTTTACACAGTAAATTTACAACTGAAAATAATTCTTAGTATATGTGAAGATGGAATTGACTTTATTTTAAACAATTACCTAGCAGAAGTCAAATACGAACATGTAGGTAAAATAAACTTCTCGTTCATAAAATAAACACAACCAGAAATCACCGTTAAAACTATTACTCAAACGTAACTAAATAACTGTTGAAATAAGGGATGTTAACAAAAATATGTAACTGTGAAGATAATAGAAACAAGGAAATAGAATGATTTGCAGGTTGTACCTCTCCATCGAAACCGTTACATGCCCATTCGTACTCATTTATAAAGGATTTTTATGTTTGAATACAAGTACATACAAGTTATCGTTTCTCATACAAGATTATGCTGTTTTGGGCTAGATATTTTCATACTACTACATTCAATAAATACGAAAACTAAAGTCACAACACTCAGGGCACATTATTATCATTACCATGTGCATAACTTAACGCATGTAAACTAATTCAAGTTCTTATACCACATTACACAATAAGATAAAATTATTTTGAGGCGAATCCCAAAGTAGTGGTATCAGTATCATTAGTAGCATGGAACAAGATGAGTTAAGGAAAAATAAACAAGGTATAGGTAGATTTCAGGACTGAGGATTTAGAGGAAGATAAAAAGAAATCCACCTACACCACTTCGAACCATTCTGACCGATGTCACCCAAAGACTCTAAGCATTGGTTACGACAATAAGACAGACCCCAAACAGTAAGTCTCCACCTATTAACATGCCTCATCCCAGTTCTTAGGGTCTTCATGGACTGATACTATGTATTCGTTTGACTGCCCCTAAATCCCACACCAGAAAACATCTTCCGTTCACGTAGATGGTGGTTGGGTATACGTAACACGTGTTCCGACCACCTCAGTTGAAGATCTACTAAATTATCAGTCGATTTGCCACCTTCACCAAATACTCTACTCACAATCTTATCGTTGCTCACCCAGTGGTCTCAAAATACACGAGCGATGCTTTGGAAATATCTATGATCAATACTAGTGACCTACGAATATCCTCTCTTTACTAAAGCATGACTGAACAGCTCTTGCTTATGTGAATGAAAGATGTCGTATTAAAAGTATGTTTGTGACTGTTACAAGCAACAGATGTGTTACTAATGTACCTGGCATACAGGATTGCCTCGTTAATTATCGTCTTCATCTTTGTCTGTTCAAAGATGGTCACGAACATTTCTGCCAAGATCAGGCCTAAAAGACTCCTCATAGAGCCTCCACCAACTTAGCGATATAAGGTATTGTTAATTTGAGAGTATACATCTTTTGTACACATTAGTAAGAGCTGTTTGAAGTTATTCTTTGCTAAAGGAGGTAGGCAAGTGTATTGCTTGCAATAGTCAAACATGCTACTAATATGCTGAATCTTCTCAATCATGCATATCTGAATATATGATTTAGAATGCAGCATGAGCAGGACAATATGTTTTATTCTTCAAACCTTGGTATCCAACGTAATGGAATAGGTCGAATTCAGAGATTTATTCATCAAAAGGATACATGGAATGGAATTTATTTGAATTTTAGTAGCTGCTGTTTGATACGTTATAAACTAGTTTTAGTAAGAACTCTGTTCTATCGAGTACAAAAATTATGTTCAGAGGACGAGAGTGAAGAGTAATTAATCATGGTCAAGGTGTAATGATTATCAACGACAGTTTATTAATAAATATTGGAGTAGAATACGTGTCGGATGTGAAGCGGCTTGCTCTCCAAAGACAATGGAAAGTGGTCGCGCAATGTCGTGGATTGATTGAAGTTAGATACTAACGCCGTTGGAGGCCGGCTCAGTGAACTAGAGGTTAGATGTTCACGCAAAACAAAGGGTAATAGGTTTAGGTACCGTGTGCGGATCATGGATGCGCACTACTGAGGAGTCTCATGCTAGAATAAAACGTCCATCCAGTGCTTCCATAGTTTCAATGAAGGTCTTATACTGATCGGTTCGTGATTTCGATGAAATATTGGAAAATAAGAACGAAAGTAACAAAGAGTGCCACAGTGGAAAAAAACCTGTCTTCATACGATTTGTATCTAAAAGTGACGAAGTATGTTGTAATATTGATTCTAGACTAACAGCTTCATTGAAAAGGACTTATACAGCAACAAAACTAGTCTCGATATATGAAATAGGGTGCTCGCTTAGATATTCGAAAGTGGACAAGTACTCACATTACATTACTTTCACTTGTATATACCAATTTATATGTTACGTATCGAAGCACATAGATTAGAAGAACAGAAAGGAGAGTTAATGTCCATATCAATGAGCATATTCCTTAAAAAACAGACTGACAGATAAACACGCCCCCAAAAGTTCGATTAGTCGTCATCTACTTGATAGTGGACACGAGGTCGAGATTTCAAAACAGTTCAAAATTATTAACAGATTCGAACCTATAACGTCCTACCGAAACAATTGCTATCAAAAAAAGTAAACCATACTTATGTGTTCGAAAGAACACTCTTGCATTGCACTAGTGACTTTCGTTTGTGGCAATTCTTGTTTACAAATTAAAGTTTTTTTTCTTTTCATACCTTTTTGAGTTTTACCTGAGCTACGCTTATTTTTATCAGTCCATTTCTCGTTGTTATTATTACGTAACTTTGAGAACCAATCTTTTCTCTCATAACTTTTACATTATTTATTATATAAATATTCTACCATTTGAACGCTCTCTATAATTCTTTCATATTTACTAGTTTTATTTATTCTTATCGATGAGAATAATTTTGATAATATGACTTAAAGTGTGTACACTGATTTTTAATGATTAATACTACTATGTTTAGGTTGCATGCAGATGATGAGAAACCACAAAATAAGATGAATTCAGATTGTTCTGGTACGTTTTTTGTTCTTACTCTATCAAAAATTATATATTCACCCAAACAAACAGTGCTTATCCCGACTACTAAGGGAGAACACTCTTAAGAGACCCAAACTTATAGGAAGAGGCATTTTAGCCTTTCCTAAATTTTAAATATCGATTTTATTTAAGTTCACTAAGTTAATAGAGTCGGCAAAAATAAAAAAACTTCAAAACAAGAAATTATTAAGAAATGTATGAGAAACAAATTTTTCAATCAAAAGTATGCTTTGTAAAAGTAATTCAACTTACGAAATTCTCAGTAATAATTTTTGAACGTTGGTCGAATGCTAATCGAACACTTTCATCTTTCCAAATTGCATTCAGTGAAGGTACAATTTCCAGAAATTCTTCTTCCAACCAAAGTGGTTGACCAAGTCGAGAGCGCTCGCGACGCATCATTCGAGTTTCTTTAAAATGTGCCTCGATTTCTCTACTAGCTTGAGCAGCAGCAGAACCAAGTCCACCAGCCCATGGAATATTGAGACTTTCCCGTGCCTTACGAAGGTGAAATAAAAAAGACAGCAGAAAACAATTTATTAAAGATTAGGAATTTTAATGCCAATTCGACAGGAACAATTATTATCAATAAGGTTTACCAAATACCTTCCTAGATATATTTACGGCAAATTACTTTTATCTTCCTTTTAGTATTACTTCACAATCCATAGTTTTTAACCATATTAGGAAACAATAAGACTGTTGTTGAATTTTATATGAATGTAGTTGTAACTATGTCGTTTGAGGAGCCATTCATAAGCAAACAATTATATACATAATAGAAAAGTGGATCGATCAGCCAACAATAATACTTTCATAAAACCACTTGTCTTAATTACCAATACAAAACGATCTGTACATCATATATATATATATATATATATATATATATATATATATATATATATATATATATATATATATATATATATATATACCATAATGAACTGTAATGTATTCAAGAACAACAAAAGTCAACTAGTAGTAAAAGCCAGAATGTTATACATCATCAAATAAGTATGACAACTTTCCAATATATCTCAACATGCTTGATCAGATAAAGCGAATTAAATTTTTCCAAGAAAAAAGCAACGAATTATAACACGAGATGTTTATTTATTACGGTATCGAAGCGCAAATACGTTCCTCATTAATGAGTATAGTGAAAAGCTATAATCTGTATGATATGATGGATAGAAGTGCCAAGTCATATCTACAAAGTGCAAATCGTCTAGCTGCATCCAAGCTGTCCACTATACTCCATGCTTTCCTTCAGATGTCGATGTCTACATAAACCAGTCAACCACCAGAAGAAAGAGGAAGGGGGAGAGTAAGCAGTTTTGCCTGATTCCGGTTGTCAATTAGAATGCACATATCAGCTGTCCTTCGTGCACCACTTTGCAGTGTAGTCCGTTGTATGAATTCCAGATGATGCTGACGATCTCAAGTACAACATGGTGTCGAAAAAGTTCCCATAATGTTCTCCTATCCACACTGACAATTACTTTCTTATAGTCAAAAAAGTTTATATGATCGATCCGGTTCTCTGTAGTGTGATCCGGTCAGACCCATATAACTTTGTATATGCATTTAGGGGAGAATATTGTGCCGCTTACAACCATTTTGTTGAATGCACATAAATTTGCGAATCTGTCACCACTCTCGTTTTCTTTTCTCCCAGTTAGTAAATGTCGTTCCATGGTAACTTAATACCCAGTGCTGTTCATTCCGATTTTGGTGTTCAGGTCTCCCATCAGAATGGTCAGGTACTTTCCTGATCACTTAGCTGTGGTTGACTGCAACCTCTCATACAACTGGTCTTTATCGTCTTCGTTGCTATCATTGGTGGGTGCATAACACTGGATAACATTCATTGTGATCCCCTCCTTCTTTGTTTTCAAGGATGCTCTGATGATTCTGAATCCATGGAATTCCCGTTCTTTAAGTGCTTTATATGCTTCCGTGGACAGCATCAGAGCAACTCTCTGAGTGTGTAGAGTATTTCCTTCTTCGTGACCCAAGTACAATAGTATCTATCCTAAATCTAACCTTTCCTTTCGAGCTACGGTTCAATGGGTTTTGCTGATTCCGAGAACCGACAAGTTGTATCTTTTCATCTCCGTAGCTATTTGATTGGTCCTTCCAGTTTCCCACATTGTCCGAAAATCTGATATGCCTATATTGATTGTTGATCTGGTTGTTAGACGGAGCATGTCTTATGACTTCCGAAGAATTTAGGCTTTCAACCGGAGGCGTCATAATTGTTTCTTTAACTCGGAGGGCAGAATCTAAGTGGTTTCAAATGTGTTTTTTTCAAGTTAGCGGTTTTTTAGCAAGGCTATTTTCTACGTGATGCGGCTGATGACGCCACGCTCAACCTTACTCTTTTGCCCGGCCTTGGGACTGGCAGTAACCATAAGAAAGCTGCAGGCGGAGCATAGAAGTGTGGAATCGAAACAATAAAATTGGTGACATTGGGAATTAAACATTAAGAATATAATTGGGAAGGGATAAAATCGGATGATGGAGAGTACGAAATCTAATTCAAACCCAAGATTTAGAAGAAAATAAAGAATGAATACATCTATTTCACAATAATAGACTCTGCGTCTTGTCATCGAATGCATATAACAAAGGATTGTGATTATTTTGAGGACCTAAGCCGAAAAGCCTTCTTAGTCCCAAGTCCGATGACTTCATGGGCTAATGTCAAGCCTTGATTTTGCTGTACAGTTCTTTTCAATCTACTGCAGTACAACCAAACGTTGTGTTTTCAATGTCTCAACTATCTCAATCAATGAATTTTACAACCGAGTGAATCAATTAACCATTTCTATCGATTAAACGAGGACAAACCTCAGTATTACTTACTTGTTATTCCCGCTATATGTGGCCAATTCTTTGAAAACATATATAATCAAACATTATAAATCTAATCATTCCGTTTCCCTTCATAACAAGTTTTATTTCGTAACGATAAAAGAATGCAAAATAAAACATTAAGCACATAAAATGGCTATTGATGGGCATTTTGTCAGCACTACAAGTGGGATGAATTGATAGAATTCAGAGGCGCATATAAAAGAATCTTATTAGAGATCAGACTCGTTGATTCTGTTCTGATTTCAACGTTTTGTGTGGCGTAAAAAACAGAGAAGTTAGAAGCAGCTACTATCGAGTTACTCAATGAATGCAGATGGACGACCCGGATCTCAAACATGTAAAGAAAATTATGCGTACAGGTCATAATAGACTTCTTTAAATATAATAGTTCAAAATGTACATCTAAATAAAAATTAGATGGGGCTCCTGGTAGAAACTGATTTCAAACCGACTAACTCAAGCATTTTAACGGCTGATTTCAAATACTTCACTGGTCATAAACGAAAACGTTATGTGACTTCAAGGACTAACAACAACGATTAATAACGTAGCAAATTTGTGATATGTTTGATTGCGCTACCATGAGACTACTCATAGCTTGGTGCTGCTTCGACCACCAAAGTATATGACAATTATCAGTAAGTGATCATGATGAAGTTATACCTAAACAATGTTGATACATATCAAAAACTTAAGCACGAGATTTATTTAGATTATCTGGAAAATCAAATGTAAACACTAAAATCCTTACACAGCAAAATCAAAACACGTAACGAATGATTCAAAAATAATAATAATAAATTGACTTTAGTATCGTTCCTTTCAAGGTTTTTTACCTGTGCTATGAACCAGAATTCATCACAAAAGTTGACTAAATAAAATGTTAACAAAAGCAATTTGTGCTGAGAAACGAAAGAAACATCTTTCTGGACGATAACTGTACAAATTATAAACATAAATGAGTCAAAACTTATTAGACAATCCAATTATTTAACCGTCTACTTCTGACGTCAATTAACACTAAGTTTACTAAGATTGTTTTAAATATGCTTGTTGAAGAAAATTTACATCCTTAGAACTGACAGAGAAACTAAATATCGCTTAATATTGCAAAAAACACTGCTTCGAAAAAAATGGCCCCAGTTACGTGTTTATACATACACTAGTTAGTATGACTGTAAGTTTGAAGATTAGAATAATTAACTGCCAACAAGTATCAAGTCCTAAGCCCACTTAAAGCCACTTTACCTTGTGCAGCAGGATAAAAACCACTAGCTCTTGCACAAATAGTCTACGTCGAAGTTGATCGCATCACCATTTACCATTAAGAAAGCTTATCAGTCAATGTAATAAAATGTATATCATTGAATTTCTAATGTATGTAAATATGTGGTTTAAAGCAAACCACAATTTAAAAAATAACAGCTTTTAATCTCATTCCACATTTTATTAAAGTTTGATTACATTAGAAAAGATGCCAAACGTATCGATTTTTGCGGTCATGTTTTCTTAGTTAATTAAATATGCATACTGCTAACTTTATGCAAAAATGATAGAGGCCTCCAATGGCCATAGAATCATTATATATATATATATATATATATATATATATATATATATATATATATATATATATATATATATATATATATATATATCAGTTTTCTAGACTTCCGATTGGATACTTTGTTGATTGAGGTTTGAGACCCAAAGGTTGACTGCGCTCCGATTTCACTGATTATTATGAATTATTAATTTTAGTCTCTTTTAAAATGTAATTTTGTTGAATCAGTCAAATCGTGACAAGAGGAATGGTCAAATAATAGTTTTTAGTTTAAAATTGTGGGATTAATTTTCGTAAGGTTAACTGTTACTGATTAATGGAATACTTCTTCTTTTTATTGTGATAAATAGTCATAAATTTTTTTTCTTCATTTTGACAAACGAATCTATTGGCTCTTTGACTAAATTTAAATCAACCATAAGTTGGAAATTATCCACTGAGTTTCTGTGTTTTTTGATATCATAACGCAATCAACAGTGTTGGTAGGTTCTGGTTGTATTGTATAATATTTTTAAAAAAGCATTTTTATGGACCGAAATAATTATAAGCTCAAATATCACCATAGGCGGATTTCATTTGAATTGGATGAACCAAGTTGTTAAATAAACAGAAGAATATCCACTTAAATTAAGTGTGCACAGATACACCTTGGTCAGGTAAACTTCGTGAGAAAATTTTGCTTTCTGTTCACTTAAACACTAAAGTAATTTTTTACGTCATATTTCAAGACGATGTTTACCAAGAAAGCGGATGCCTAGTAGAATTATTAAGTACCAATGTGTTTGGTGTGAGATGTGGCAACTTGAACCGATGTATATATGTGCCTGATCCTACGATGTAGCTGACTGTGTTCGGTCCAGAAGAAATAGCTGGTCAACACAGGTACCTCCAGCTAACGAGTTCCAAATATGAAGGACAAAGCGTCCTGGATTCGACTGACAGCTATATTCAACTTATTAAATATCAACATCTATATTATGGCTTTATAATACGCAAATGGTGCGTAGCTGAGGAGTTCCTGTTGTTTCATCCGATAATACTCCGTAAGTGTATTGACTCTTTTTTGTGATTATTAATAATCGTTTTTGAGTTAGCTAACTATAATAGTATAGATAAATTTCAACTGTCATTTAAATTTGAGGCTTTTACACTTTGTTTACGGCAATCATCATTGCTCGCCATAAATCAATAGATATGTGAACTCATTAGGACCAGTCAGTAAAACTTTCCGCACATCCACTAGTTTGAATAATGCTATGGAGAACCACTAACGTTTAACTACAAAGAATCATTCCTCTTTTTTACCCATTCTAACATGACCTACATAATTCACCATTTCGATTCAAGATTAAATCCCTTTCTCAACTCGAATGAAAAATATTTGAAATATGAGGGTCACTGACTATAGTTATGCAACTCTCTGGTTAGCTTTCAAACAATTTGAGATCTCAAAGGACAAAAGTTTCAGTCAGTATGGGTTGACCACTCGTGAAGACATTACTTGGCCACTAAGCTAACGTAATATTTGATATTTTTTCGAAAAATTTCCCAATAAATAATAAACTTCTGGGAAGTCAGACGAAAAATGGGCTATTTTTAAATGCATATCAATAAAATCTGAATATGAAGGGAGTGGATAGTTTTGATAAACACTACTTAATATACCCGACTCAAATCATAGTTCTGGCTCGCCCACAATTGTTAGTACAAATAGTCTTGAGTAGTGATGTGTTAATTTGGTGAGTCTTTCTGCGACAAAGAAACTACACAAATTACAAATCAGACGACAGACGTATTTATCATTATTTATCCGACAGATTCTTATTAAATCGACGGAGGAATTCGGGACTTGAGAATGTATTTTTTTCTGCTGGATTCGTGATTCAGTAGCATACACACTCCCGTTTTAGTTGTATAGTCAGATATTCAAATTCCACACCGACAAGCCAGAGAGCATAATCAACTCTAACACCCCAGATTTAGTTTAGCATAGATATATAAAACGTTATTACGTTACGTTTATGCTTAAACTTTAGTTACGGTCATTTTAGCAGTTTAGAACGACAGATATAAGAAACCGAAGATGGAAAACAAGTTTGCTAACCTGCAGTAGGAATAAAACACCTTTGTATATGTTATCATAGATAATATCTTTTAGCTGTTCGATTTCTTGGTTTGTAAAGTGCTTTCCATTAATGATTTTCATTTGCTTGAGAAAAGTACTTTTTCCACTTTCACCAGTACCCAATAATAAGATCATTTGCCTTTGACGAAGACGACTTTTCTCCTTTTTCAGTTCTTTTTCTATTTCCCTGTTGCGTTTTTGCTGCCACTTAATGATTTCACGGTCGTCAATTGACTCTTTTGGAAATGCACAGCAAGCAAGGAATGACAAGGTCATTGACATTGGCTGTACATAAAAACCACGGAAAAATTATTGAAAGGACAATAACACAGCTCAGTAACCAACCACAGATTTGTGCACTAGCTTTTGAGCTACACAAGTTAGTCAATACGCCTTAATAAACAAACTCGGGTACTAACTCAATAGTAACCCCTCTGAGATTTGTTGAACCTATGAGATTTTTCAATGCTTCAAGTTGTAATTCTTTTCAATTTTACGAGTGAAAATGATGTTAGATAAAGTCAGAAATCCAAAATCAAACACATGATTTGTGTTTAAAAACAGAAGCAGAAAATAGGCATAAAAATGGATATGTTACCAAAGCCACTAAATGATAAAATATCGATAACTATAGCTGGTTAACAGACATGAAACCACTGATAAGAAAATGTACACAGAATTCCCAAGTTACTTTGTTACTGCGAGCAAAGATATATTTTATTGTTCCCGTAAAAAGCGGTTTAACGACATTAATTAAAGCTCGAAATCTTAATAACGGAAGAACAATTACTTGAGTGGTTTAGCCGGTTTCTTGTTGGTAGTCGATATAATTACGAACTATATGTTATTTATTATATTAATTATTATCGTTTAAACACATAACCAATGGCACAGGGGTCCACCAAAATATATAAGCGCCACACAGTAAAAACGAGATTGTGAAGAGATAGAGAAAAGAAAGTGAGCATAACAAGAAAACAAATCAATAATGAATATAAATAATGGTATGAGAGTAAAATAATAATAACAATAATGGATGGAGCAGTTTAGCTAGCAAAAATACAACCAGACAGGATTCTGTCATTTATTCTAGCTTTTATGAAGTAAAAGAAAGTTACAGCATGATCACCATTGGCTTGTATTCTGAGCCATGTCTGATAACGTTCCAAGCCACTGAAGTGTACCATCTCTAGCACACAAAACATGGAATCGTGAGGTACGAACAGAAGCCAGTTCTGAATAACTTTCATACCACGACACTATATCATGCACTGACCATCTTTACGCATTTTCCAACTAGTCCCAGCGTCAGTAAATAATGCACAACGTGAAATTCGCTGGTATAACATTCAAAGTGCATATCTAAGTCACCAAAATCAGTGTTTCAAGAAAGTGAACTAATTGAATTATCATCACTGTGTCCGAACACACGTTGTCGAGCCTCTACATTAACAAGACAGTGTTGCCACTGGATGTCAGCAATCCTTCGGAGACAACGGTGATCAAACACAGAGAACCACTTAACATACTTAACTTGGAGGGGCTTGGTTTCACAAAAATTGAGAGAAACTGTTCCCACTAACACACTGTAAATTCGAACTTTTAGAGCCAAAATTATGTCACGAAATCAACAAACATGGCTCACATCAACATAAGCCTCTCTGGATTTCATTATACGTAAACTGACCTCATCACTTACACCATCATTTGCGCTTATACAGATACTCAGATTCACGAACTTCTTGACCACTTCTATCTCTTCACTGCCAAAAGTGAATGCGGACAGTACCCTCTCGGTCTTGCCAATGTACTTTGCATTTCGAAGTTTCAAATAATATATCACACCCACGGAAGTTGATTCCCAACAGATTAAGTGAAGACTAGATGTCTTGGGTATTATCGCACAGTAAGACAATATCATCCGTATACTCAATGTCGAAAAGTCTTTCTCCAGGCAACAGGTCCACACCACCTTTACCTACATCCATCAGAGCTACTTCCAGAACGTCATCGGTGGCAAAGTTGAATAGGAATGGTGAGATTGGGTAACCCTGCCTAATTACATTGCCTGAATGAACCAATAGAAAGGTGATTGTATGGCGTCATTCTACCTGAAGTGTTTGTATGTAGGGCTTTCAAGATGTTAATAAACTTTTCGGGAACACTCTTCTTCAATAGACAATCCCAGAGAACTATCCTGTTCAACAAATCAAAGACGGCCCCAATTTCAAGAAACATTACGATTGTTGACAAGTAATAAGTATGACGGTGTTCTAACATTTGGTGGAGGGTGAAGATATAATCAATACATCTTCGACTAAAACAAAAATCAGCCTGCTCCTCTCGAGCCAATCTTTCTCAGGTCTCGAACAATCCACAAACCATAACAGAAGCCAATAGTTTGGACGCAATCGGAAGTAGACTTATCCCCTGACAGTTGTTCCATAGGTGATGTGAACCCATTTTAAAAACAAGGATAACCGTCGACTCATTCAACTGTGTTGGAACGCTTTCTAATTCCAAGATATTTATAAACAGCTAAGTCATTTCCTTTTAGATGGTGGTTGGAGGTAGTCAACAGGAAACCCTGGACCCGGGTTTCGTGCTACTTGGCACTCGTCAGCAAGGTGTACCTGTAATCTTGAGGGAACTGGTGCTCCACGACGGGTTTCACCCCATGTCACCCAGCTTCACAATCAGAGACGTCACCACAGCTATCCAGGCCGCGACCGACCTCCTGTAGTACTGAGATGTAATCACAATTGGTTGATCACTGGGTGGTGATCAATGTCATGTGTGTCAAGTCCTTATTAGTGCAGATCGAATACTATCGACCAAGTAAACGATGGCCAGAAACAGGTTGTAGTTTGTGTTAAGTTGCAGTAGACGATCATCGTTATTTGGCCTGCGACAAACAAGTCCCCACCAGCTACCCAAGCCAATTTTCTCAGTGCCTAGACACCCGGCCTGTGCATTCAAGTCTCCGACTAGTACTACAGTATCTGTCGAACCAACTCAATAATTTATTCTCGGAAATCAATAAACAGTGGAGCACCGGAAAAAACAGTAAAAGGTTCACCATTATCCATCCTTTATATCAATGAATTTTCAAGTCTCATCAAGTTCCATGATACAAAAGTATGGAAAGAGGTACAGTAGCATGGGAATATACGAACACTCCAGGTTGATCTCAGCATTATGGAAAACCGACTTGAAAATAATCAATGTCACTCAATACACCTAGGTATCTTCATGGACATGAGTCATAGACTGATGCCGAATTTCACAGGTTGAAATCATGAGGTTTTTCATGGTGGTCTAGCTTCAATTGGCTCATGATTTCAACCCGTGAAATTTCTAAAAAATCTCCACAAAACCCAATCTGATAATAATCAACTACTCACTAGTGACTGACTTCAGGAGATACTCCTGGAGTCCTAGTGAGAAGCCGTTACCAGTAAAGTTCAACCAGGTCTGTTTTGAGATATCAGCTCACTGAAGGCAATGGTGTACGGTGGCGCAACTTCGTGGATTGGTTGAAGTTAGACATTAACACCGTTGAATGCCGGCTCAGTGGTCTAGTGGTTAAGTGCTCGCGCGCAAAACCAGTAGGTCCTGGATTCGAATACCGCGAGCTGCGGGATCGTAGATGCGCACTGCTGAGAATCCCATACTAGGACGAAACGGCCATCCAATGCTCCCAGGTTTTCCATGGTGGTCTAGCTTCAATTGACTCATGATTTCAACCTGTGAAGTTTCTAAAAAATCTCCACAAAACCCATTCTGATGCCAAATTGCCTGAACGTCTCCATTAGTCTCAACTAATAATAACTAAAAGTCATGGCAAATTATAACTTCGAGGTAAATGCTCAATCCCGTTTGGTGGCAACTAAAGGTTAACAGGCTTTCTAAAAATTGGTTGAAAGGACAGTAACAACAGTCTAAACACCCATAGTTAGATCCAAACAACTTAAACGTGTACAGACAGCCAGCTACAACGTAGGACCAGGCACATATATGCATCGGTCCAAGTTGCCATACCTCATTAACACAAAAAGATGTACATCGGAATCATAGTAGTTAATTTAGTTGAGGTTTCAGTAGACCTGGGACAGTGTTTTGTGCACTAGATTCGTTGGCTGTGGTTACATTTGAGGAGGAAGCCGAAACAGGAAGTTTAGAGGTGAAAGTCGATGTAGGAGGAATAATAGGAATTGAAGAGGGAGTCAGTCAGTCAGCTACAACGTAGGACCAGGCACATATGTGCATCGGTCCAGGTTGCCAAACCGCATCAACACAACAAGATGAACACCAGATTCATAACAGTGGTTAGGTAAAAGGTGGTAATATATAAGAGAAAGATTGCATATAGAGATATAGTACAAGCAGAAAGAATTGGTTCGTAGAAAGAAGGATATGAAGCGATTTTAATCTCATAGTTTAAGGGAAGACAGGGAGTGTATACACCGACGCCATTGTGATCGATTCTGAGCCATGTCACAAAGAGTCTCCAACCATTGGTTACGATAGTCACGCGGACCCCAACCAAGTAGTCTGCATCTACCAACATGGCTCAGACTAGAAGTTAGTGACTTTAAGCACTGATGCCACGTTTTGGTTTGGCCGCCCCTGACTTTCTTCCAACCATTTCCAATTCCGGATAGCATTGCACGTCGTGGTAATCGGTGTTCAGGCATACGTAACACGTGGCCCAACCATCTCAGTCGATGAAGATTCATAACCTCATCAACTGATTTACCATCCTTTCCTAATACCCTGCGTCTAACCTCACTATTACTTACCCGGTTATCCCAGCAGACGCCAGCAATATTTCTAAGACATCTGTGGTCAAATACTAATAGCTTACGAGTGTCTTCTACTCTTAATGGCCATGTTTCGCTGCCGTAAATTAAAACAGAACGGACTGCCGCGCAGTATACTCGTCCTTTTATTGATAGACGGATATCTCGCCTTCGCCACAGGTGACGTAAGTTGGCAAAAGCCAAACGAGCTTTTCGAATCCGTGCTGAGATTTCGTCCGATACCAACCCATTGGGGCTGATCAGACTTCCAAGATAAGTGAAGTTGTCAACGCGTTCGACTACTTCACTCCCTATCCTTAGTTCAGGTGTTAACGCAGACCAGTCCTGAAGCAACAATTTGCATTTAGAGGGAGAGAAGCGCATTCCAAACATCCTGGCATTGTTGCTCAGTGCTACCAGAAGACTCTGCATTTTGTCAGCGTCTTCACCAAACAGGACTATGTCATCTGCGTATTCTAAGTCGATAAGTGGACCTCCTGGATGGAGATCATTACCCGAGAACTCGGTCGACGAGAGTTATTTCCATCAGTAGATCTATGATGAAGTTAAACAAAAATGGGGAAAGTGGACAGCCTTGACGGACACCACTTGAGGTTGCAAAAGTAGATGACAGTTCGCCATAAGCTCTCACTCGACTAGTAGTGTTCGAGTAAAGAGCCTTCACAAGGTTTATGTACTTCTGGGGTACGCCTTTCAATGACAGACACTGCCACAGAATCTCGCGGTCTACCGAGTCAAATGCTGCTTTTAAGTCAAGAAAGACCACCATCGTCGGACGCCGATAAGTATGCCTGTGTTCTAGAACCTGACGAATGGTGAATATGTGGTCGATGCAGCCACGACCAGGTCTGAAGCCAGCTTGATTTTCTCGTGTTTGCAGTTCACGAGTTTTAGTTAGGCGTCTGATTATTATTGAGGCTAGTATTTTAGATATTATATTAGTTAAACTAATCCCTCTGTGGTTGTCACAGGATGATTTTGACCCTTTCTTATATATTGGGACGATAAGTGATTGTGACCAGTCAGATGGAATAACGTCTAACTCCCAGATCTTAGCTAAAATATTAGTCAACCTAACCGCTAAAACTGGACCACCATCCTTAAAGACTTCTGGAGCCAGTCCATCTGGACCAGCAGCCCTTCCTCGTTTCAGATTATCTATAGCCTTTTGAACCTCAGCAAGAGTTGGGGGACCTACTTCAATGTTCCATTCACGCTGTCTGGGAATGGAGGGTAGTTGTAGAGTAGCTGAAGGCCAGCTGAACTGTTCTTTGAAATGTTCAACCCATCGTTCTAAACGTCTGGACTGGGAGCAGATGAGTGTGTCGTCTTTTTCCGATATAATCTCACTTACACTTGACTTATTAATTCCAGTTTCTTTTATTAGTCTGTAAAGCTGTCTTGTGTTCCCTATAGTCGCCGCCTTTTCCATCTCTTTTGCTTTCGTTGCCCACCACTGCTCACGGTCGTTTCTTAGACTTTTTCTTAACCTAGATCTGATTTGTTGTCGCTCTTTATCATGTTCGGAACCTGATGGGACGAATTTGCGAGAATCCATCAGTGTGATGGACTTTGAAGAAATCCACTGGTTCTTTGAAACTCTGTGGTTTAAGTTGCTAATAGATGTCACTGCTGCTTCTACAGCTGCTTGTATGTCTTTCCAAGCAACATCTGGGTCAGCCTCGTCTTCAGAACTACCTAAGTGTGAACTCAGTTGTTCTTGGAACCTATTTCTGGTTTTCTCGTTACTCAATTCAGTTCTAATGGGTCTTTTTAATGTGGCTTTTTTGCGTCCGGTGAGGCGCGAGCAGAT